TAGTGGGATTCTGTTTTGTTCCTGATCTTAAAGGGATGTTTCTGGTGTTTTGCTATGAAGTTTATTATTATAAACATATAGGTTTTCTTTGTAGATACCATCCTTCACATTATGGGCGCTCCCTATCCTATTATTTTTTTTTAATGGAGGTTGAATTTCATTGAACATACTTTGTGCATTGAGAAGATTACATGTTTCCTTTCTTTAATCTGTTAACAGGGACAAGTATATAACCGATTTTCTGATGTTAACCTTATTTTGCATTCCTGGGATAGGTGGGCCAGGGTGCACCATGCAACTTCTTCCTTGTTTACATAGGCCACAGAGGGAAAAGTAAACTCAGGGAAGTTGAGTCATTTGCCCAAGGCCACACAGCCCGAGCATTTGTAAAAAGTGATTATTGAAACCTTGTCATTCTGAGAGATGTAGACTAGGAGTGGATTCAGCCTAGAACAGTGATGGCGAACCTTTTGAGCTCGGCGTGTCAGCATTTTGAAAAACCCTAACTTAACTCTGGTGCCGTGTCACATATAGAAATTTTTTGATATTTGCAACCATAGTAAAACAAAGACTTATATTTTTGATATTTATTTTATATATTTAAATGCCATTTAACAAAGAAAAATCAACCAAAAAAATGAGTTCGCGTGTCACCTCTGACACGCGTGTCATAGGTTCGCCATCACTGGCCTAGAAGGTGCTTAGATGTTACCAGCGACCTCTGCATTCAGAGAGAAGCACGCTGCCCCTTGGGTAATGGCAGCTGGAACGCACCTTGCCCAGCAGCCCTGCTGTCTGGGACCCAAGGCTCCATTCAGGGCCATGCAGGTCCCCATCGCCTCTTCAGTAAATCCTCAGGGAGGACACTCGGCAAGACAGCTCCCTCTTATCAGGAGCCAGGACCACAGAATTATCTGAGGGTTAAAAAATGAGACTTGATGCCCTAACTGGTTTGGCTCAGTGGATAGAGCGCCAGCCTGCAGACTGAAGGGTCCCAGGTTCGATTCCGGTCAAGGGCATGTACCTTGGCTGTGGGCACATCCCCAGTGGGGGGGTGTGCAGGAGGCAGCTGATCGATGTTTCTCGCTCATCGATGTTTCTAACTCTCTATCGCTTTCCCCTCCTCTCTGTAAAAAATCAATAAAATATATTTTTTTAAAAATGAGACTTGATTTCATTTTTTCCAGCTAAGTGACTTTATGCAGCTGCTATTTTTCCATGCTTTGCTGTTATAATCTGTTGTTTGATATCACAGTGGGAGCATAAATGTATTTTAGTTAATGACCCATTTTGATAACCAAAATATTTGGATGTCAAATGTTGTTCCAAAGTGTGCATGGAATTTCTATTATTCCAGCTTCTATGTTCCACTAGCACTCCCCTCTTCGAATTTAACGGGTTCCTAGCAATGTGGCCTCCAGCACACAGAGTGACAAAACAAGCAAAGCACTTTTCTAACAATGAGCAGACTGACCCATCGCGCAGGGCAGGCAGCCAGACAGCCCAAGAGTCCACTGACAGATGAATGGATAACAAAAATGTGCGCACGAGCACACACACACACACACACACACACACACACACACACACACAATGGAATACCATTCATAGCCATCATAAAGAATAAAATCTTGCCATTGTGACAGCATGGATGGACCTTGAAGGCATTATGCTTAGTGAAAAAAACTCAGAGGAAGACAAATACCATATGATCTCACTGTATAAGGAAATTTTATAGGACCAGAAAATGAACTTAGGAACCTAGACTTTTTCGTGTTCATTACTTTTTGTGTTACTGAAAACGGTAAAGGAGATTAGAGATACATGCGGAGGTGGCAGTCCTCAAATGTTCTCTACAGAAGGTGAGACCACAGTGTGACAGAATGGTTCATACTTTTAGGGGAGGTTCAGCACTAAGCCTCCTGCACGCTCCACAATCCGGGCATGTGCCCTGACCAGAATCAAACCCAGGACCTATGAGTCCACAGTCCAATGTTCTATCACTGAGCCAAACCGGGTAGGGATATCATGCCCTTTTACAATGAGCTAGTCAACAGTAAGTGGAGTGTTTGCCTAAACCTTGTGAGCTGCCCGAGCAAATGAGCTGCATCTGAGGAGGGTCATGGGAACCTCTGACGTAGAGCGGGTGGGTCAGAAGCTCAGGTGACAACCTGGACTTGAATGACCTCTGAAGTGGGGGTGGACTTATTGGCTGAGCCCTTAACCTGTGGGCCTGAGCTCTCTCCAGGTGAATGGTGTCAGAACTGAGTTAAATGGTGGAACACCAGCTGGTGTCATGGGATGGCCTGGTGTCAGGAGCGCTGTGTGTCACTGTGACAGGAGAAACCCAGGAGGACTGGGTTCCCCACACAGAACAACACTGAAACTCTCGGGTACTCTTAACCCCTTCCTGTAGCTCTACCCTCACACCTAAGTTTTACTCCTAGTTGATACCTGTGGATGACAATCAGGGCCTATTCTACTTCTCACATACTCTCCCTAACCTCTCCTCGTTGATAGCTGTACTATCTATACAAGGTTGCCAAGAAATCTGGAAATATAGATGAATACATATGAATGGTTTGTTGATATTATATTTCAGTACATTATAAATAACTAGAGGCCCGGTGCACAAAATTCATGCACTCAGGAGGGTTCCTCAGCCCAGCCTGCACCCTCTCACAGTCTGGGAACCCTTGGGGGATGTCTGCAGGGAGCGGACCTAAGCCGGCAGTCAGACATCCTTAGCGCTGCCATGGAGGCAGGAGAGGCTCCCGCCACCACCGCTGCACTTGCCAGTCATGAGCCTGGCTCAGGGCTTCCTGTGTTGAGCATCTGCCCCTTGGTGGTCAGTGCATGTCATAGAGACCTGTCGTTCTGCTGTTTGGTCAATTTGCATATTTGTCTTTTATTATATAGGATAAGTTTTACTTCTATTTTTCTTTCAGTATGGCATGAATCTTTTATAAGGAAACATATTACTTTTATATTTTCATTTTAGCAAAAAGCTTTCTTTTTAAAAAATATATTTTTATTGATTTTAGAGAGGAAGGGAGAGGGAGAGAGAGAAACATCAGTGATGAGAGAATCATTGATCAGCTGCCTCCCACACTGGGAATTGAATCTGCAACTGGGTCTATGGCCTGACTGGGCATCAAACCACAACCTCCTGGTTCATAGGTTGAAAATTTACCACTGAGCATGCCAGCCTATGGAAATTTATTTTTATTAATTACATTGACAGATGGGCTACAAAATTTACATTTTATTGCAATAACTCCAGCTATAGAAAGAGAAGATCACTTATTAAGCACAGTTTAAGTACAAACAAGCCACCGAAATTAAAATCTCAAATAATGCTTTTTCCTGTCTCTTCTTGCAGGAAGGAAAGCAGATTCCCGGTGGCGATTGTGTCTCTTGGTCAGACACTTCACTTTTATCCAGAGCCAGGAGCGCAGAGTTATTCAAGGGTTTAAAAAATGGGACTCGACTTGATTACTTCCAGCCTAGTGATTTTATACGCAGCTATTTTTCCAATTATTTATTTTATTACAATCTATTGTTTCATGTCACAGCTGGAGTTCATATGTATTTCAGTAAATTACCCATTTGCTAACCAAAATAGTTACAAGAAAAGGAAGCAATTTTTAAGTGTATGTGTCCATTATTAAACTTTAAAGTTTAAAATGACCTATCTACTTAGAGCCGTGGTCGGCAAACTGCGGCTCGCGAGCCACATGCGGCTCTTTGGCCCCTTGAGTGTGGCTCTTCCTAAGCCTTAGGAGTACCCTAATTAAGTTAATAACAATGTACCTACCTATATAGTTTAAGTTTAAAAAATTTGGCTCTCAAAAGAAATTTCCATCGTTGTACTGTTGATATTTGGCTCTGTTGACTAATGAGTTTGCCGACCACTGACTTATAGGATTCGCTCGGGGGCCCAGGCCAGGGCAAGGGCCCAGGTCAGGTACAAAGCCCCCCCTCCCCTTCCTTTTGGTTCTGATACTATCTGTGGCCTCAGGGTGTTGACTCTCAGACCTTCCCCTTGGACTCTTTCCTCTGAGGCCTCCCTAATTCAGTTCCCAGGGACACAACCCTCAATCTCACCTGGCCCGACCGGCCCTAGTTCAGACCTCTCCTGCCAGTACAAGGCAAGGCTCTCAAAGGAGGTCATACATTTCTGAGTCTGAATTTAGGAGCCTCTCATAGGGGCAAGATTTTTTTTTTTTAAGGGAAAAATTCTATATTCACCTGACCCATAAGAAATTCACTATAATTGAAAATATTATTCTCTTTTAAAAAAATAGTGTATGTGCAGTGTGTGTTTGTATGTATGTGTATGTGCAGCGTTTGTGTGTGAGTATATGTGCAGTGTGTGTATGTGTGCAGTGTGTGTTTGTGAGTGTATGTGCAGTGTGTGTGTGAGTGTGTGTGTGAGTATATGTGCAGTGTGTGTGTATGTGTGCAGTGTGTGTGTGAGTGTATGTGCAGTATATGTGTATGAGTGTGTGCAGTGTATGTGTAAATATATGTGCAGTATGTGTATGTGTGCAGTGTGTGTTAGTGTATGTGCAGTGTGTGTGAGTGTGTGTGAGTATATGTGCAATGTATGTGTGCAGTGTGTATGTGAGTTTGTGTGTGTGAGTGTATGTGCAGTGTGTGTGAGTGTGTGTGAGTATATGTGCAATGTATGTGTGCAGTGTGTATGTGTGTGAGTTTGTGTGTGTGAGTGTATGTGCAGCATGTGTGTGTGCAGTGTGTGTGTGTGTGTGTGTGTGTGTGTGTGTGTGTGTTGGGAGGCAATATAGAATGCACTTATCCCCTGCAATTCCTCTGTTTAACCTGCTCAGTAACAGAACAGATGAGACCTCCCATCTGAGCCCTGACATCGATGTGAGATGTAGCTTGATGTTGTTTAACTCTTGATTCCTCTTTAATGAGCAGAGAATAAGCCACCAAAACCCAAGAGAAGGGTGTCCGGAGCACTTTCCAGTGAGCACTTGCTAATGAATGAAATGATGAAGTCCAGGTTTTAGTGTAGTGCTGTTTCCACTGAACTTGAATTTGAACTTAAATCCTATCTTTTCCATTTATCATATCAGCTCTGTCACCTCGAGCAAGGCATTCAACCCTCCACGCCACAATCTCCCTTTTAATAAAAGGCGAGTGACACTACTATCCATAGATGGATCAGCTGTGCCGACGGGATCTACCTCTTCAAGGTGCGGGAGGACTAAATGAGATGGAGCTGCTAAGATGCTGAGCGCAGGGCCTGGCCCAAGAACAAGGGCTCAGTATAGAACGCAGGGCTCAGCGCCGGCAGCTCATCAGGTTCACACCTCTGCCTCGCTTCCTCTGAGGCGCGTCAATCGTCTGCTTGTGGTGCTCGTGTGTAAGCAGCCACCACTGAGCTGTGTCGAGGGTGCTGGGGTAGGTGATAACCCTCCTGTGGTTATGGCAGCCTCTGGTAACCAAAGGGCCCCACACACAATATGCTTTGAAATAGTAAAAATACTTTAATGAGAAAAACCACTTCCTAATTCATCTGTCGAGCGTAGTGTTTGCTGTGTGTTCTGTCCAACCACTGAGTTTGCACAGAGAACCCGGCTTTTCCACTCAGCTGAAGGGTCATGTCCTCTGCGCACCCTTTCCAGCCGCCTCTCCACCATCAGCCTGTTAACTGGCCTCCCGCGGGCTCCCACAAGAGCACGTGTATATGCTGCCTCCTCCATGCCGTTCACTGTCTTTCCATGCCCGTCTCCCCACTGGTCTCTGAGCTCCCTCGGGCCAGGGGCGGTGTCTCCCTCATCTCTGTGTCTCCAGGTGATGGTACCAAGCAGGTCCCACAAACACCCATAGGATGAGTGGAGGGATGCTTGGGTGGGGCTAAGTGGGCATCAATACGGCAATTCGGAGTGTGTCCTGAGAATCCGACTCCTATGTGGGTGGGCAGTTGTGAAAGTTCACACTTACTGTCTGAGACCTTTGCCCAAATGAAGAATTCCCTGGCCTTTCCTTCCCTTTCAAAAACTGGAGAGCAAAGATAGAGACAAGGAAGGCCTGATCGGAACACCACAGCCCAATATAAATAGAATTTCAGCAGGAAGAGCTGGCAGTTCCCCCAGCTGGTCTCAGACACCCTCCAAAGCCCTGTGGGAGGGCGGCCAGCTTGGGCCACGGCGGTCTCAGCCGCCTGCGGAAGGACAGACGCTTCGGGCCACGCGGCCCCAAGGGCTCGTTTGCCGGGGAAGTTTTGATAAGGCCCCTTAAGCTGTGGGGAGGTGGGATTGATCACTCATGCTTCACCTCCATGTTGTATCTACATGTAAACATCTCCTTCTATATTGGGCTTTATTTTCAGATGTACCTTGAGCATAACATAATTTAAAACATCAGAAAGTTTGTGATATGTTATTATTATTTCTCATTTGAATTCTTTATTGTTGAAAGCATTACATATGTCTCCCTTTTCCCCCATTGACATCTCCCCACCCGTTCCCACCCCCATGATATGCTATTAAATGAAAAAAATCTTTGTACTGAATATAGAATTTTATCCCAATTGCACTGATGATGGTATTATGGGTGATTTTTTTTCTTTTTCTGTGTTTTTCTGAAAAAGTTTAAAAACAGGCATGTATTATATTAATAATAAGGGCGAAGGCTATATATATATATTTTAAGTTCTAATGGGTCATCCTACAGCTTATGATGTAGAAAATTCTGTAGTCTTCTCTGAGTAGAGGGACCAGCTGTGCATGCGAGCCTCCCTGAGAACTTAACTGCCTTCTGTTTGACCGGATGACAGATGGTGCCTGAAAGACACCTGGCGTGGTCTGGGTGCCCACCTCTCCAGCCTCCTGGACGCCCTCCAGCCACCAATGCTATCGGGAGGCTCCAGGCTGCTCCCCTTACCGGCCTAGAATGTTCTCTCGCCAGTGAAGTGATGCTGACGCTAACTAAGACTTCAGCTCTGAGGGCACCGTCGGGGGCCTTCCTCAGGGCAAGTTCCCATCATGCCCTTTCCTTGAGCACACCTTTTTGCTTCCTGTGTTTATTGGTAAGATTTTTCTTTAATATCTTAATGTCCACCCCTTCCCCGCCCCCCAAATAAAGCAGCCGTGAGCCCCATGATGATTTTGCTCATTCCTGAATCCTTGGTGCTAGCACCTGCCTGGAGCTTTGAGGGACTTACTAGTAAAGTATTTCCTGCCCTAACCGGTTTGGCTCAGTGGATAGAGAGTCAGCCTGTGGACTGAAGGGTCCCAGGTTCGATTCCGGTCAAGGGCATGCACCTTGGTTGCGGGCACATACCCAGTAGGGAGTGTGCAGGAGGCAGCTGAATCGATGTTTCTCTCTCATCG